AAATAGTTAATAATATTGTAAGTCCATTTTATTGTTGTTCTTTCTACGTGCCGTTATAACACCTTTTCATCTCATCATTTAATTTGTATTGTGGAAAACAAATAGACAGATAGATAAACTGATATGTGGCGCCATCTAGTGTATCTAAATTCATCAAGAAATTTTCTTAAAAGTGACCCAAAAAATGTGGCTAACTTGGTAACCCATGGCCCAATTTTAACGAAGCTTGTTTTATTCTGTTTCTATTCTCATTTCATTACAAATATGGTGCTATTGTGCACTGTTTTTGCTGTATTTATTTACAGACAAGCAAACAAACAATCTCAGAGTTTTAGTAGTACATAGATAGACACACACACAAACACACATTTATAATGACCAAATTTATCAACCACAGATGACCATTTTTTTAAACACAAGTAAAGAGTGAATGCAATAACAACACTACTTATACAGTTAATTATCTAACTTCATAAACACAATATTAAAAACTACTATTGTTCATTAAACTTGATAGTTTTCAATAATAAATGGTTAAGGTCTGGATATGTGAGCCATTTGCTACTATATTTTGTAAGTCCTTAAATAGTGGGTAGGTACCAGAGGATTGGAAATTGGCAAGAATTACTCCTATTTTTAAGTGATAAAAATTGTTCTGGTAATTACAGGTCTATTAGTTTTACATCAGTGGTGGAAAAAGTTTTTGAAAGTCTGTTAAAATATGCTTTGCAAAATCCTTGATGAAGTTGAAAATTTTGTTGGATTTTCAACATGATTTTAGCTGGGGAAAAATCTTGCCTAACCAATCTTTTGACATTCTATGAAGAGGTTTCTGTTTACACAGAGGAGGGTAGATGTGTGGGTTTGGTGCAACTGGATTTTCAGAAAGCATTTAACAAAGTGCCACACAAAAAGGTTGTTACAAAAATTATCTCTATAGCATATTGGAGTTCTGCTTGATCAATCTCTTAAGCCATCCAAGCAGTGTTGTTGTTGTTAGGTTTTTAGATTACATCTACAGAAATGTTGAATATAAGTCTAAAGGGGTTAGAATTTCATTGTATAGATCATGGATTAGGCCACATATGGAGTACCATGTTCAGTTTTGGGATCCTTCCTAAAGGAAGGACACTGAAGTGTAGGAGAGAGTTCAAAGGAGGGCTACTAGGACAATACCTGGGAAAGAAAGGTTGTCATATGAGGATGGTCTTAGATCTCTGAAATTGCTTTCTCTTGAGGAAAGAAAAGTTAGAAGGAATCTGACTGAGGTGTACAAGATTTTTAAGGGAACAGATAGTGTTGATGCATCATATTTTTTCATATTTATTGGTGAGAATGGTAGGACTAGGTGACACAAATATAAATTATGGCAGGGTAAATGTCATTTTCAGTTAATACAGTTTTATTTTTCTAACAGGGTAGTTGGCCTTTAGAATGAGCTGTCTTCAAATGTGATGGAGTTTAAAGGAAGGCTAGATAGGCAGAAGTGATAAAGACTGGCTTTAAATTTATATAATACATAGAAATTTAGTTTAGTGGGTGGGACAGCATAGATGATTGTCCTTAAATGTTAAAACAAGTACTTTTTTATCTCATCATAACAAGCAACAAGTATATTTTATAAGGATTTCACAACTGAGTTTATATTTGTATTTGGCTATTTATATTAATTCTGTTTTGAGATTTTACTCAATTCTTAAGCTATTACATATTTTTGGAGAAGTATAGATTTCTTTCCACTTTGGTCTGTTATTCTCTTATTAGTTTGAGAAATTTTAGCAATTACTAAAAGTTATGTAAATTGAATTCACAAGAAGTATGCAATGACTTCATTCTTTTACCTTGTAATTTTTTTGCCTCTTCCATAAACTCCTGCCTCTTCTTTCTTTCTTCCTCCGTGACTCTTCGTTGTTCCTCCACCTGTTGTTGTCGCCGTTGGAGAGCTTCTTGTATTCTTTGTTCTTTTGTTAGGAAAACAGGCTGAAACAAAATACTAACTTATATTATTCTCAATTTAATAAAGAAAATAAATACTTATGTTACAAAAGAGGGTTAAACACTTTTATATAAAAATGATTTTCAAATATGATACTCGGCAATTTACATTTAAACCATAGCTGATATGAAGTCATAGTGGAACAGCATGTAGCACAATTACATTGTGACATTATTTGGAGTTTCATAGGTAGTGTGATGCTACCAAAAATATTAACATTTTTGTGAAGAGTGTGTAATAGCCCTATCTAAAGCAAAACATACTCTGAGATCAGGGATTCAGAATTTCCAAAATGGGAATATCCCAGGTACTTAAAATTAGTGCTCGATCTCTTTTTTTAGGATCCTGGGTCTCTTAATGTTTGGAAACTGAGACTCCACATAAAATTGAGAACTGATGATTTTCCTTTAACACAAAGTTCACAATATTGATGGAATTAATACACATAAACATGCATTTTGTATTAAAGATCATTAACCTTTCACTGTAACATCATTTTGTAGAAAATATGAAGTACTACTGTAAAAAGTGCAATTAGTATTAAAATATTATGCTTAACCCTATGACCCCAGGTGCCATTTTTGAATTCCTTTCTGCATATATAAACCATTACACTATCAATATATGTCAATGAAAGTAACATTATAAGGAATGTTATAATTTGAAATGTTATGTTATTTATGTTTTAATTACTTTGTTTCAAAGGAAACCTTTCAAAAAAATATTTAAATTGCAGTTTGTGTGCCACGTGATCCACAAGCTTTGAAAAATCTCAACTTTAGCAGTTACATGAACTGGCAATGTTAGAGTTTCTTCTACACACAAATTGTGTGTTTGACCTAATTGACACACAAAATCTAATATTCTACAACTGTATTCACTGGGAAAGAGAAATTAATTTTCCAACCCTTGACAGTTGCCATGCCCACCTTCTATACGTTGTTTTCCTTACTGTGTACATGTAACTGCCATTCATATTGTTGTCTGCTTGATCGATTATTGCATATATGGTGGTTTTTTTACCAAAATACGCTATAGTTAGAGAGACAGTTAAACTGTTTTTAGGTTTTACTTTTATATTTTAGTTAACCCTATTGCCCCAGTTACCATTTACAGCACATGACACAAGGTTTTAGTGTCTTAGATTCAAAATTTTATTATACCAATTAGAATAGTATAATATCTTGGCTAATAATCCATATTTTAATAGCATACGAGTTTTAAGTTCTTAATTCTACAAGGCAATATTTAAAAAAATCCTGAATATCCACTAGTGTGACCCACAAACAAACAAACCATAATTTTTATAGCATTCAAAGTTGTTTAGTTACAGAGCTATCGAATAGAAAATCAGACCCTTCCTGCCACATCCTCTTTTTCACAATTCGTTGAAAGTTCTCTCTTATCTTTCATTATATATTACCTAT